AATTTCCGATGAGTTTAAAAGACTAAACTCATAGATGGAACGTACCTAACATTTCCATATAATGGCCTAAACATTTCTTGTAAATATTTTACCATTTTTCAAAAGCTGATCTGGTTTTTAGTGTATTCTACAAATATTTCCCACTTATAGCCACATTAGGTAGTCCATGTTGATCTTCGTCAATGATAACGTAGTCAGCATGGTACTACCCATTGTCACCAGTACGTTTACAAATTTCAGTAATTTTTTATAGAGATACAATTTTGTTTACAATAGGTACTTAAGAACTGCCTGATTTTCTGCATAACCTCTCTGTCACAATTTTATTTGCCTCAATTGGCATTAATTTGGCTAGTTACTGTTATAACGTAAATTATATTTACCTGAAAATATGCAGAATTGTAAGGCCTAATGTTGTTCAGATGGGTTTTTATTTCCCTTGAATGTGAATAATGCGAATCCTGCAATGCAAGTTTTATTAAGGTTTCTTGGATGTAGTCATATTATTTTAAAATCACTTGACTTTTATGAAAACATATATAATGTCCTTGCCGTACCGGATTAATTCGGCCTTAGAGGGGTTTCCTTTGCAAATCATCATAAAGTTAAGTCCGTGTTTCCTACAAAATAGTAGCACTTCCGATAACATCCTTGTTCATTGTTTGTGGGAATCTTCATATTGTAGGCGTTCTTCTTTTATATAGGATGATAACGATAATATTTTTAAAAATTCTCGATTTCTGCTACTTGGTGGCGTTCTATGACTTTCCTATGTTTCCTTGGAAAGCAATTACGACCTTTAAGGGCAGTTTATGAAATAATGGATAGTTTTGCGCTAGTTTTCTCGTCATGACGAACATTTTAAGTATATAGTTTATGGGGGTGTGACTTGTAGTTTTCACAAAAGTTCATGTGTACTTTGGGCTTTATATTGATCAACTAGTGGCTTATAGGGACATAAGTCCCTAAAAAGCTAAAATGTAAAACAAACTATTGTAATATTTAAACAAACTCAGAATAAAATTATCTATGTGTCAGAATCGATACAGTGCTACAATACTACATGTACTCATATTAGTACCCTGGCCCAGTTATTATTTCTAATATTATAGCTCTACTCCTTTTGTAAAGGCACAACTGAATTAGTGTAAAGGCTGCCCTAGTTTCGTTTCTGATCAACATAAAATATAAACTACTCTCTGTGTCAGCTTATGTGGTGGTATTCCTCCTAAAGCTGTGATTGATTTTATACACTCTTTAAAATAGGCCAATTTAAACGTTCAGTGGGTTCATAGTTTGTTAAGACCATAGTAAAGTATTTATTTGCTAATCCGTTATAATTTTTAAGTTAATAACATAGCGCTGTCTGCTGTTATGACGCAATGTACAGACAGCCGACAGCTAAGCCATGTCAGCTATAGTCATGTTAATAGTAGATTATTTTTCATTCAATGGATGTAAATTTTGTTTGAAAACATTTTACCGGTTATATTATTTATTTAGCCTACAGTTAAAAAAGCTAATCATCGACTGATTACTAACTCTTTTGCCACTGGTTAGGGTTCCATTATCATGTTAATGAAACCAATCAAGAAAACAAATTCATCAGCATTGATATAGGTACATATTTTTGGTTAGTGAAACATAAAGAATAGGAAACTACCTCTAGGGTTTACTGTTATAGATTCTCTCTTTACTATCTACATAGATTGTATATATATACAATGCATGTTGGGCTATATTATTTTAACCTTTTTTCCTTGGAGCAACAGACAGTAGATACCTGGTTAAAATCTACTCCAAACAATTTTATTTTTCCGCCCATTGGAATTTATTATAGTAATTAATAAAAGGAATATATGTATTGCCTGTACAAACCTATTTCAAATTTTATTCCCAGGTTATTCTCTAGAGTAACTGTTAAGGTTGTTCCACTCGATACAAAGTATAGATTAAACACTACAATTACGTGTCAAATTAAATGTTATGAAATTTAAAACAAAAGTTTTGAATAAATTTTCAACATATGTTTTGAAATAAAAACAAAACAGGAGTTTTCTAACTAATCTTGCATCGTTGATTATTTAGTCAACGGGGCTATTTCATGTTAAACATTCCTTCAGCACAACAATAACCTACAAATGTGAAGAAATGTAATCAAAGTAAAATAATTTTGTAAACTTCGTGAACACATGTTTAAAAAACCAAAGCTTAATTAAATGTTTCAGCCATTCTACTTCCATTTACTTTGATTTTAACCATCTCCCACGATTCTACTAAATTTCATGCGCTTGGCTAATTTACATACAAATACACAAATTGAAATGAAGTTCGAATCATGTAAAAACAGTTCTTTTAGTTCGTCATTTGCTTGTGGTTGTGGCATGTCCATTGTGGCAACATGCGTTGAAATGTCCATTTGTGGCCTCCTCTGCAAAATGAAATGCGCCACAATGCATGCAAGTGCTTTAAGAGGACCTATATTGTGAGAAACAACAATCAACTAATTTTCCAGCGTTTTTCTAAAACGGCTTCTGGATTTCTTTCACAATTAGGCCCTACATGACGTTCTCTTTTGCATTTCTTAAGTCTGTTGAATTCCTGGACACTCTTCTACGTCTTGCAGGTCTTCCCCTACCCTGTCTAGTTACTTCACTCATTATAAAAACGGAAAACAAAAAAATTAAACACAATCCTTTTTGAAACATTATTTACCAACATTGTCTTTCGGAATAAATTGCAAATAAATAAGTAACAGCTGATAGAATGCAGACGTTTTTCAGTCCCCATGCATTTCTTATGGTGGATATTTTACGTTATATCTCGTTTTCTGGTAGCTTTATGGGAATTCTGCTATTTTTCCCGAGTCCCTGGGGTCAATACCTTTAATTTAAGACCCCTCCCACTTTTCTGCGACTTACCAGACGTCCACAATTTTCTGGTAAAAATTAGGTCTTACAGAATTATATATATAGATAGATAGATATTTTTTCCACAAAATCAGTTAATGTAACCAATGCGTTTCGTTGAATTGAAAAACAAAGAACACAATTAAATTAAACAGCTGATGTAAACAATATTATGTTCTTCGTAAGGATAACATGGGAACTTAAAATGCCACTGTGGCAGAGGCCAAGGGACTTTTTCAAAAATTGTAGGCCAGTTTGCAAATGATGACGTTCTTTCCAATGAGACGTCAGTGGATAAAATCGGTTAAGAAATGGTGGAGGATTCAACCGACAAACTTCGTGTTCGCGTATTAATTATATAGATTTCATATGTGCATGAAATGTTGGTGTGAAACCAACTTGTATAACTTTAAGCTAAATGGTTTAAGTTACCTGGCTTCGTCAAGTGATCCTTCATCAGTATTACACTACTATAGTTTCGAACTTGAAAATAAGTCCATCTTCAGAAAACGTCAATAGGTCATCTAACCAAATTGGTTAGATGACCTATTGACGTTTTTGTTAATCTGAAGATGGTCCTCCAGAGGCTACCTCACCATGTATACCTTTGAAGTAGAGGCTATATTTATTCCCAAAAGGTATCAAACGCCAGCTCCTGATCAAATCTTTTCTATCACTTTAAAGTTTGTTTCGTGTTTTTAGTCTTCACGTTCAGAGACTTAAATCTTTGTATTAAATTGTTAGCAATCATAAATCGTGGACAGAATCTTCCACAAAAGATAAATACAATATAGTTTAACACCCTAGAACTCCTTAAAAAAATATGTTTTGTTAAGGCTTCGTCATAATGTTAAAAATACTCAATACAACAAATTCATTAATTTTACATATGTAAACGTTGATAGTTGTGTGCGTATACATCTAGTCCTCTATATTTTCTATGTACACAAATGCTTCTGTATACACTTTTTTTTGCAACTCACAGTAACTGAGAAATATTCTAAACTGGTGAACTGTTTTTATAAATTTTTGCCATTATTTCTCAACCCGTGCTTAAAAAATTAGTGACTCGTGGATAAATCCAGATACAGAATTTAATCTAAATCGGACCACAGGTTTTGTCTGTAGCTCTGTATCTGGATCATACAAGTGTGTATTATATAACCTGATATTAGTCAAAATATGTTTTATTCTATAACGTTTAATTTAATTAAACATAAAAGTCATGCTCCCTCCATTTTTAAAGTATTCAGTCCAAAAATGTAATAAATTTACTTGTGCATACATATTTATTTCGTTTTAATAAATAATTGAGGTGACGCAATACACTTATGTAGGCAGTCGCAGCAGTCGAATCCGGGCATAGCGCCTAAAGTTTCACGAACGCAAACCGCGCAACGAGTAGCTAAATGAGCCGTAGAGTAAGTGAGCCATCTAATATTTTGAAGAGGGTTCACTTACTCTACGGATCATAGTGCCAATGAACTGTAGAGTAAGTGAGCCATCTAATATTTTTCTGCAGGCTCGTATAGTATACGAGCCTATTCCTATAATTTATATTATTCATTATTTTGGCTCGTATACTATACGAGCCGATTCCTGAATTATCAAATAATTCGTAAGCTTGGCTCATAGTCACTATGATCTGTAGAGTAAGCGAACCTTCCTACTGTATTTTTAAATATAATACACGAGGCTCATAGGCACAATGATTCGTAGAGTAAGTGAACCCTCTTCATTTATTTTTTATTTTCGATAGGCTCGTATAGTATACGAGCCTGTAGTGCAAGTGAACCTTCAATATTATTTAAAAAGCTCGTATAGTCTATGATCTGTAGAGTAAGTGAGCTGTCCCCGTTTACGTATAACCACAGATACTTGTGTTGGTTAGTCTATGGTATAATGGAACTTAATAAGTTAGCTCTGCCAAATGGATAACTTCAACTTTGTATAGTATGTGAAAATACTGTCTTGTTATGTGATGTAAGCAAGCACGGGAAACTTCAGCAGCTGTTACGTTTCGTTTGTAGATGGATTTCTCGACTCGACTGAAAGCAAAATCAAAAAGGCATTGGGTCTAACGTATTATTTCAATTTAAACGGACGAGTAGTCAGTTGGTTAAATTCTCAAAACTCAACTCAAACCGAGCAATCATTAATTGACCATTGTCGAACATAAACTTTTTTAAATGCAGATTTGACATATTGTTTTACTATTTTGTTCGGAATCTGCTGACTTTTATCCGAATATTAACTTTTTAAATTATAATTGTTCCGATATGGCATCTTTTCAGATTCATGACGATCAAGAAAACCAACTCACGAACATTGGTAGATTGAAATCCAATGGCCTGAAGAATAACGTGAAGCCATTTCAGCAAAAGCGCACTGTTCTGGGCGATATCAATTCAAATCCTAATAGAATATCTACAAGAGCAACTAAACAAGTAAGTGATTGATGAGTCTTCCGTTTGACATTGTTCTCTGTTATATTTCTAATGTGAATAGGCCTAGGCATAAGTTAAGAGGTTGGGTCCAATCGTGAACAGGCAGGCATGGTTGTTTCATTTGGCTGGGTTTAGGCTGATAATTTTGGGTAAGCAGGCATTGCCATTAGACTACTGGTTCTCTTTATTTCATACCTAAAGTCGTACTTGTCTACATATTCAAAATTAGCCTATTATAGGTCTAAGCCTAGATTGGGCTTACTAAGTTTGCATATTAGGTGTACTAACAGACTTGACCAAACTTGAACCCAAGATTACATGTTTTGACATGCAGTTAGGCCTATGTTATTTCTACAGATTATAACTTAGAGATAACACATGGCCTTATTTTGTGGGCTAGGGCAATTCTAAATTGTAAGTTAGGTCTAGGTCCCAGATAGCCTTAAGTTAAGTTATTTTTTTTTTTTTGTACTGGTCCAATAAGTTAGTCCTCGGTCTGGAAATTATGCATAACAAGGTGACCTTGGGAACCTATAGTAATTTTATATCATTAAGTAGAAACCCGATTTTTGCCTATAAACAATGGTGCACAAATTCTTCTGCTGTGATAAAAACTGAACAAACCACGATCGTTTGAATGTTATTCACTTAACTTACCTACTTTAATGCCTCTTGTCTGCTTGTCTCTGTCTGTTGCCATTACTGTGTTAAGTAGTGATGGGAACTATCCGATATGTAGTAACAAACAATTCCTACGTTTGTTGTGCACCAACCAATTCATCCGATGGAATGGTTAGCCTAGGTATTTTAATTTCCATCTGGATGAACATGATTCTATCACATGTGAATCAGCCAAATCAACTATCTCATCTAGCCTAAGTAGAATTGGTGTGAACCTGGCAATAACTCCAGCAATAAGTAATGTGCGCGCCCGATAAAATCTATTGCCGGCAATAGATTTTTTTGGGTGCGAGCACTACTTATTGCTGACTTAACCCCCCTTAACTTACCCCCCAGGTACATGATATTGATACTGTCGTGTCCATTAAAGTGTCCTCTATCAGCTGACACTCTCGGTAATAACCTACGCGGCCGTATTTTTCCGCTAAACGGCCAGCAAATGGCTTTACCCCCCCCCCCCTAACTTAACCCCCTAGGTACTTGATATTGATACTGACGTGTCTGTTAAAACCCTAGCAGTGGCCGATCGACTCCTGGTGACGATCTGACGTTGATGCTTAGAATGGCCAACGACTCCTTGTGACGATCTGGGCCGAAAATTTTTTAGCGGTAAAAAAAACACTTACAATCAACTCAGATGAGAATAATATATATACCATTCGAAAGATCACATTCTGAACTTTCATTTTATTACATAAACAAACTCTGCAGCAGGTATATAACAATGTCACGATGATTAGAAATCAAATGAATTTTCGACGCGGCACGACTTTTGCAGCCGACACTTGGGAACTGGCAAAACACGTCTTGTTTGGCATTACCCTGCTCGGGTAATTTTCGTCGTGGGATGTTGCGAGTGGTACCACTGGATAGCCATTGATTTTATCTTCATTGTGGTAGTAATATTTATAACGAAATATTGATTGCACAACCGGTACGATTTTATGAAAACAGCTGTTTTCGAAACTTTTTACAAATGGCCAATCGACTCCAGATGACGATGTGGAAAATACGAATTACATACAGTGTAATTTATTATTACTAGTCATATAGTATGTCATTTTGAAGAGGAAGAAATGTAGATTCAGAGAGTGGCAGCCCTGCACTCAGGGTTATTTCTGTATGCTCGTATGTAGACGACGAAAGTGAGTCATTACTGCTACAGTCTGTCAGCTGTCTTGTATTCGCCATTGTTTGTTTGTGTGTTTGCCGGTAATAGTGTTATCCGCGATTTATTACTAAATACGTTATTAGTTCGTAGTGTTAGTGTTAGTGAAGTGTTGTGTGTGTGTATAACAGTAATCTTCATGCATAAATATTACTGAATTGTGTGAAATAGTGTTCATAAAAGGTTGTATTTTGTTAGCATCATGTCCTAAAATGACGATTCTGACATTCAGAGATTGTTATACCTATATAATGATATACCCAAGGTGTTATACATTTTTATAAAGGTAAATGAAAACACTACAACATGTTTATAATGGTTTGGGGTTAAAAAATGTTGTAAAAAAGTTATAGCCTATACTAAATAGGCCTACTACTGTATTTTGTTAGCATCATGTCCAAAAATGACGATTCTGACATTCAGAGGTGCTATATATGCTATATAATGATTTACCCAAGGTGTTATACATTTTTATAAAGGTAAATGAATACACTACAACATGTTAATATTGGTTTGGGTGTAAAAAATTTGGTAAAAAAATTATATAGGCTACTAAATACTGTACACTCCATTTTCTCGAAATGCGCAAAAAATTCAAAAAGTTCTCAAATTGATACATAATCATAGGTGAAAATAACTTTTTACCATCATACTTATGACTTTTTTGGATTCCTTACTTCATTAGCTTTACAAACATGTAGGCTACATATCATCAGCCTACATAATGTTTCACAACACAAACAAACACTGTAGGCTATAGTTTACACTTATTTGCGGTTTTGCGGTTATTGTATTATTATGGTCCTATTACGTACCTACAAAAAAATAATATTTCTAACATGTTATACATTTTTATGTAGGTAATTGAATACACTACAAGATTATTATGTTGGTTTGAAGTAAAAAAATTTGGTACAAAAGTTGTATACTAAATACTGTGAATTTTTTTTCTCGAGAAATCGCTAAAATATAAAAACATTATTTTATATACGTATGTTTATAGGTAATAAATTATTTTTACCATAAACTTTATGACTTTTTTTGATTCCTTACTTCATTAGCTTTACAAACATGTATATATCATTATTAGTATACACATATATTATAGAACTTTTTACAACATAAACTAACACTGTACGGTTTTCAATTTTTTCGGTTCTCTGTTTGTCATTATATTTCGCCCCAAAAACTTATAAAAAAAAATATTTTCCTAACATGTTATATATTTCTATGTAGGGAATTAGATTGTCTACAAAATGTATATAATGAATTTCCCATAAAAAATCCGTAGGAAAAAAAATACCGAGGCCGCTTTTGAAATTTCAAAAAAAAATTCCAATTTTTTTATTTTTTTCACTTTACCGATAAAATACACTGTCTAAATCATTATGATATTACTATTTCTAGATTCTCCTGTTCTTTCCGAACAAAATGAATATGAGGTTGGCTAGGTTTACTTGTACGGTTGAATTTTTACGAATTTTCAAAAAAAGGTCTGCAAAATCGCCAAAATGGGTTGGCCATTCCCCACTTCTAACATTGGCCACTGCTAGGGTTAAAGTGTCCTCTGTCTGGTGACATCATCGGATATGGTACGCGACTGTATTTTCCCGCAAAACGGCCAGCAATAGATTTTATCGCGCGCACGCACTACTTGTTGCTGGAGTTATAGCCAGGTTCACAAAAGTCTAAGTAGGCCTACTTAGGCTATCTGTGTAAAATCACCTGTTCCATGTTTTCATTCAATTGTTAATCTATCCGTCCCGCATTTTAATTTGTTTGATTGACCTACGAATTGGTAATTTGATTAGGTACTGAAACTGATCTTTATTGAATGGTGAAATGAATATAAGATCCAAATCAAAATAAGAAGGTTACAATACCTGCAGACTGCCCACTAATAGTGGCCTCGATCATCCAACAGGATTACGCGTTAGGTACGGTATTAAGTATTAGGCTATATCATCATCAGATCCTTTACAAACCTTGAAGTTTTTTGACACATGATGTCACGTCACAGTTTAAAAAAACAAAAAAACAGTCACAAACATTAAGTTAGTAATAAAAAGTATAGCCTATAGGCCTAATTCTGCACGTAACCTTCTTATTTTCATTTGCATAAAGTGGCCTAGTAAAACAACTAGGGTACAACATTGAATAGATCCGTTAATTTGCACAACAGTTTTTATTTTACCTTATTTAATTTTAAAATTATTTATAAAAATGTTAAGAGTAGGGTCATAGGTTATTTATTCATTCATTCGCAGGTAAATTATATGTTCAGCTCAACAGTGACTTATGCATTCATGCAGATGGTACCACTTAGGCCTACTTGTACTAAGTAGAATAGCAATTAAGTTGGGGCCTAACTTATATCAAACCTCTGTTGAAAGGTTATATGTAATTTATTTTAATAGGCTAATTTCAAACGAATGAAAAATAAATATACATTTATTATAAAAAATAGAACAGAAGAGGGAAGTAATTTTTTTACAGTAGGCTACATGTTAGTTTTTTTAATCCGGCAAAACACTCAGACAGATGATTTATCTGTTTATTCATGTAGGTACGGGTAAATTCTCCGAAACATGGCGCTGGGTAGGACCGCCAAACGCCACACTACCAAAAGCATCTATATCTGATCACTCAGGTGATGTGAGTGATCAGTATTGAAATATTAATTTTTTTAAAGTTAACTGGGGGTGTCCAGACTTTATCTTGCTTGCTCATCTTAAATTAAAGTGGCTGCCATTTTGATTAGGGGTGCGATATTGACCTCTGGTTTTATACAATTCAATTTCTCATGATAAACCCTTTAAAATGAGGGGTCACATGATAGGTGTTTACATTTGAAAATTTGGGGCTGCCCCCAAAATGCCCCATTTTGGGGCTTGGGGCAAAGTCGTTACTTTGATGAAAAAGTGCAATTTCTTATGTTGTAAATATGTGCCGAGTTTGGTTTTCTTACTGCAACTCGTTAAAAAATTAACTGGGAGGTTCCAGACTTTTGCCTAACTCTGTATATAAGATATACCTTTAAACATTACCAATTTAATTTTAAACAGTATGATTTAAATTGGCATTGTGTTTAATATTACGTTTTTTTAACCCACCCTTATGACAGTGTGTATCTGGATCCGAAGATCTGAAG